TTTTACTATATACCTAGCACTGGAATTGCTGGGTCATATGGTAGTTCTACTTTTAGTTTTTTGAGGATCACCCATGCTTTTCCCCATAGTGCCTGTACTAATTTACATTCCTACCAACAGTCTATGCAAGGGTTCTCTTTTCTCCACATTCTTGCCTGCATCCATTATTGCCTATCTTTTTGATAAAAGCTATTTTAACTGGAATTAGATGGTATTCTATTATAGTTTTAGTTTGCATGTCTCTAATGATTAGTAATGCTGAACATGATTTTAATGTAACTCTTGGCCATTTGTATGTCTTCTTTTGAGAAATGTCTGTTTAGATTTTTGCCCAGTTTTAAATCAAATTTTTATTTTTTGCAATTGAGTTGTATGAGTCTTTATATATTCTGGTTACTAATCCCTTGTCAAATGAGTAGTTTACAAATATTTTCTCCAATTCAACGGGTTGTTACTTCACTTTTTTGTTGGTTTCCTTTGCTTTGCAGAAGCTTTTCAGCTTGATGTAATCTAATTTGTTCATCTTTGCTTTGGTTGCCTGTGCATTTGAGGGCTTACCTCAAATTGGCCCAGACCAATATCCTGGAATGTTTCTGCAGTGTTTATTTTTTAGTAGTTTCATAGTGTCAGGTCTTAAATTTGTCTTTAACCAATTTTTATTTTATTTTTCTATATAGCAAGAGATAGAGATCTAATTTCATTTTCTGCATATGGATATCTAGTTTTCCTAGCATAATTTCTTGAAGAAATTGTCCTTCCCCCAATGTAGGTTCTTGGTGACTTTGTTAAAAATTAGTTGACTATAAATGTGTGGATTTATTTCTGGGTTCTTTATTCTGTTCCATTTTCTATGTGTCTGTTTTTATGCCAGTATTATGCTGTTTTGATTACTACAGCTTTGTATCATAATTTGAAGGCAGGTCATGTGATGCCTCCAGCTTTGTTCTTTTTGCTCAGAATTTTAAATTTAGAAAAACATAAAGACTCCAACAAAACACATACTAGAACTGAAAAACAAACTCATTAAATTTGCAGGATAAAAAAATCAACATATAAAATTCAGTAGCATTTCTATATGCCAACAGCAAATAATCT